ACAGCTGAGGAAAGGCACAGGCCACCGTGACCCCAAAGCAGAGCACGGCTGTATAGGGGGGCATGCAGGGATCTAATCCGGGTGTCAAAAATGCTGCTGAGACAGAGACTTGTGGAATTGTGGAATACCGCAGGTGCTCTCCCGCTCCTGCTCGGCTCAGGCCAGAGCCCCGGGGCAGGGGGTGCTGCGAGGACCGGCCGCTGTCCCCCACCGCCCGGAGGTGATGCTGCACTTCCATCTCCCGGCCAAGGGCTGAGCTGCACCGCTCCCGGAGAGTCTGAAAGCAGGGCAGGGAGGGCATGCTATCCTACAGCCATCCTCTCCCAGAGTCCTTTGAGTCCCAGGGTGATCTAGAACGGCTGTGAGCAGCAGTTTGTCATAGGGAAAAAATAATGTCAGGAAAATCCTACCGCTCTTAGAAGCTCCTATGATCTTTTAGCATCCAGGGTGGCCTGCAGCAGAAGCTCCAAAGCTCACGTGGGTGTTGTGTTGTGCAAGGCAGTACCTCTTCCTGTCTGTATTAGATTTTTAACCTGTGAACTTCATCCAGAGCCTCATTTTTCTACCAGAAATCATTCCCTGGCTATGCCAGTCAGGGAAGAAAATATCTTTATCAGATTGTAGTGATGGGAATAGCCATGGCTGGCAAGAGCACATTGTCCCATCCTGGAATCCCGTGTTGTGGCAAGGAGGGCTGTGCCACCAGGGGATTCAGATGATTCCTTCCAGATCCTGTCACGACCTAGAGTGAGCAGGACCTCATTGGATCGGCATGGGAAACTGGGACACAGGAATGCCCAAAGTGGGGCAAGAGGCATCAGTGGAGCCAGGAAATGCCCTGGGACAGACGCCTTTGACAGTGTCGAACCATGAAATCTCCCGTCTGGACTCCTGGATTTCTTCAAAGAACTCTTGGGGCTTTTAGAGATAACATTCCTTTGCCAAAGCTGCCTTTCCTATTATCTCATATTTCCTATATGGCCATTAATTGTATTCTTTAGAAGAGTCTCTACTAATTTGTGTATCTACACAACTTATGTCTATCTAATTTGTGAGACTTAATTGTCTAGAACATTAAAAACATTATATCACATTAGCACCCTGCCACTCTCCTGATAGCCAGAGCCCTTTCAAGTGGGAGATAGCATAGTAGCCTGAGCTATTTCATCCTGGCATTCCCTGGGCACTCTTATGTTAATGATACCCGCTCCTGCCCAGTCGCTCATATCTGCTCTGTTGATGTTTTCTAAACTCTTCTACAGAGATTTCAATAGGAGACTGATTCTCCCTTGTGTTCTGTGTAAAGGGGGCTCAGGGCAGCCCAAGCTCCTGTACAATACAGGGATGCAGAGGAATTATCTGAACACTCCTATGTGTTCAGACACCACGTGCCTATGAACACTATCTGAACACTCCTACGTGTGAACTATGAACACACTACTATACTATGAATATTATCTGAACACTCCTGTGTGTTCAGACACCATGTGCCTCAAAAAAGAGCTGAATATTTCTTCTTTCCCCTTTTGCAATATGTGACCCAACCTTTTTCAAAGATGGTCTCTCTGGGCTTAGGAGCTTCTCCTCTGTTATTTAGCCATCCTGGGCAGTTTCTGGTTTGACTTTTTCACCCTATTATCTCTGTGAAGGGATGCATTTGCTTTAAGCCTCCAGGATGGTATTTCTGAGTACTCTTCATGTCACCCACAAAGATATTTTCATTCTTTTACTACTTTTGTATTCTTATATAATTCACCTGGTTTGATATGAAGCAGCAGAGTATTTTTTTCATATTATGTTTCTCTTTGGGGTGTGATTACTGGCTGTAAACATACCAAACACCAGTCTGACTTAAAAAACTGCAGAGTGCTCAGGGACCGGCCAGGAGCTGCATTTCCTATGAGAAATTCCCAAATAGCTTTCTTGTGACTAAACATTGACTAGGTCCCAAAACACAGTGCCAGTATCTTGTCCTGAAATGACATTTACTTGAGAATGTAGTGTCTCATGACAATTGCTCTCCTGGAGCTCTGCTCTTCAGAATCTTGTGTCTTGCTTTAGCAGCCAATAACGCAGCCCTCAGCTGGTACTGCCACCTCTGAAAATTCTAGTTTATTTGACACATTTAGTCTGCTGGTCTGGAGTTACTACAGCAAGAATAAAAAATCAGCTGATGACCGGCATGACCAGGAGCCTGGGGATCCCACTCTGGAGAGGAACTTCCCTGCTTAATCAGGAAAAGGAAGATGAGGAGAATGTGGTTACAATCTGTACCTGTATTGGGGAAGAGCTAATTAGGTTACAGTTTGGGCACAAACAAGAGGTAGGGTTAAACAGATAAGGAAAATTTGCAGAGTCACAATTAATGGAAGTTTTTACCCAGCTAGGGCAAAACCAAGTTTGGTTTTAAGGTAGAATAAGCTCCCAGATAAGATCCCAAAACACTGAAGTAAGGGCAGGGACTGGACTTGTTGAGCCAAGAATTAACTTCTATTGCATTTGGGAATCCCACAGCAATACTTATAGCAAACATCATCAGCCTTCCTGTCCTGAGGTATTCCTGTGGTCTCTGGAGACCTCCACTCCTCAAGGCAGTTCCTCATTTCCTGCCTGCCCAAGCAGTTCCTACAAGCCCCTGCTTGGAATGGATGTCAGGACATGAGAACACAGCTCCTGCCAAGGCGAGGGAAAAGCAGGGGACCCCGAGCAGAATCAAACAACCACTTGAGGGTTGTTCCATTGTACTTATTGATGAGCACATTCGTCTTCATAAGCAATCTTACATGTGCCTACTTAGAGAAAGTTGTAATGACACAAATCAGGTAGCAATCCTCACTGGAATGTGAAAATCCATGCTAGGTATTTTGGCACTCTGTGAACTGAAGTTAACATGTGTTTTGTTTCTTTTCCTGCAGTTTCACCTGGCTTTGCAGCCAAGTCCACACTGGCCTGGTGACCCACTTCCGCGGGCAAATTGTTGCAGAGTTTGAAAAGGAATTCCGGTACTTGTACGCAGAGTCCAGAGCAGTGACCCACTTCTGTGTGCCAGATCCTGGGACGTGTCTCTCTTCTTGGAATACCTCAAAAGTTGACAACTGTCTTCTAAAACCCACTCAGGGGAATGATACTGAGACCCTGAGCCCCTCCAGCAGCCTTTCCAATGTGAGCATCAGGAGCATAAAGGTGTCTCCCTTTATGAAAAACTCCAGCTGCAGTGCACACCAGGAAAAGCAAGATTCCAGCTCTGATTCTGGCAATAAGAAGGGGAAGGAGGACACATTCATGAAGCCCACTTGCCCTAAACAGCAAGAAGAACCACCAGACTCGGTGAACAGTCCTCCAAATAAACCCATCCCAGCCTTGTATCCCAAATCAAACCTCGTAACAGCAAGGACATTCCTGCAGCCGGAGCCTTCCTCCAGTAAACCTGGTAACCAGGGGGACACTAAGGCCAACAGCAGCCACTGCTCCCCACCGAGAGCGGGGCAGCCGCTGCAGTCCCTGTCAGAGGGCACTGGCAGCAACGGGACCAGCCTGAAGCCGAGAGCACCTGTGGCCACCTCTGGGGAGCTAACAGCTGAAAATGAGAACGTATTTTATGGGGTAGAAAAGAGACAGAGCCCTGGACATGGCCATTTTGACCTTTTCTCCCCATACAACCACCTCAAACGGGATAAAAAGTCTGTAGTGCCTTGCTATGACAAGTTCCCAGAGGATGTGCTGCTGGAAAAGAACAGCGCGTACGGGGCGGAGAAGAGGATGACTCTGGGGCACAGCAAGCTGGACCTGATCACCAAGTACAACAAACTAAAATCCAAACACATACACAGTCGGTTCGAACTCTGACCTGGGCCTTGAGCTGGCCTCTGCTCTGATTTTCCAGGGGTTGCTTTTCCCCGTCAATCATCATGCCTGGGGCTTGGAATCAAAACATTAGTCTTGTTCCTGTTAAAAGATGTCTAATCTATGTAGATGATTGATTCAAACAAGATTAGCAATTGCAGCTCAAATTTTCAATTACATGATTGTGGCAGTAGGGAGAAAAGCACATAAATATAATCCACATTCTTTTTACCCATTTGGGAAAGAACCATTTCCCAAGTAGCTATTCCTCACACCCTCAAATTTACAGCAAAGCCATTGCTACACCTGGAAACTGGCCACTGAGGTCTTCAGGGTGAGCCCTGGTTCTCTCCCAGCGGAGCAATTCCTCTCCCTGTATCCATATGGTGAAAATGAAATGGCCAAAGGGAGAGGGATGTGAAAAATAAAGGAGTTGTTCTGCTGGAAAAAGATGTGTTGGGTCCTCGTGGAGGGGGTGAGCACTGAGTGTGGCCAGCATCCCACTGTGCTGAGCTGTGCCAGGCCAGGAGGGGACAGGGACACGTCTGGGCACGTTTGGCATCTGCACCTGGCTGACACTGGCACATCAGTGGTGCCAGCACACGGATGGGGGCTGCTCGGGGGGCACACCTGAACACTGGCGGCAGCTGACACAGGTAGTCCATATACACGAGCGAGGCACTCAGGTGGCAGCTGGGTCGTGAGTGGCCTGTCAGCTCACAGGTGACATGTCAGCTGTCCTACACCACAGGTGTCAGCATGGAGGGGGTGCCCAGGCACGGCTTCTGTTGGGACAGTGTCAGCACCTGGGGAGCACCAGGGCATGGGCCGGGGCTGTACACAGATGGGGTGGCCCACAGTGGCCAGGACAGCCGTGGCACACACCTGGCACAGGGACAGAGCCAACCACAGCACCGGCACAAGGACAGTGATGGACACCAGGGACAAGGACAGCGATGCCGCCCCTGGACCCGAGGCGGCCTCTCCAGGCTGTGGGGACACACGGGCCGGCTCTGCCCCAGGTGGGATCCGGGCACACGGGGACGAGTTGCGTCCCACAGGTGCCGTCGCGGGGCCCGGGCTGGCGAGGGGTGCCTGAGGTGGTGCTGTCGCCACGGGCCAGTCCCTCCTGGGCCGTCCCGGTCCCGCTGGGTCCCTCAGCGGGTCCGGGGCAGGTTCCGCCCCCGCTCCCCCTCATGGCAGCGCGCCCTGGGCGCTCTCACCTCCCGGCCGCTTGGAGACGCTGTCCCTAACAAGGACGACCGGAGCCGCTCTGCCCCGCGTGCGCCCTGCCGGAAGCGGAAGCGGTGGCGCCTCGTGGTTCCGGCGGAGACGCTTGGAGCTGCCGCGGCCCGTTCCTGTTCCCGTTCCCGTTCCCGTTCCCGTTCCCACTCCCACTCCCACTCCCACTCCCACTCCCACTCCCACTCCCACTCCCACTTCAGCTCCTTCCCGGCCCTGCCCCCGCCCCCGCCCAGTTCCCGTTCTCGGCCCAATCTTGGTCCCGTTCCAGCTTCCTTCCCGGCCGCAGCTCCGTTCCCATTCACGTTTTTGGCCCCCTTCTTAGTCCCGTTCCCGCTCCATTCCCTTTCCCGCTCCATTCCCGTTCCCATTCCCGGCCCCGCTCGCATTCCCGTTCCTGCCATGGCGGTCCGCGCCAGCTTCGAGAACAACAACGAGCTGGGCTGCTTCGCCAAACTCACCAACGCCTATTGCCTCGTGGCCATCGGCGGCTCCGAGAACTTCTACAGGTGAGGGGGGCCCGGCCCTGCCCGGCCCTGCCCGGCCCTGCCCGGCCCGCAGCCCCGCGGGGCCCTGACGCGGCGCTTTCTCCTTGCAGCGTGTTCGAGGGGGAGCTCTTCGGGACCATCCCGGTGGTTCACGCCTCCATCGCCGGCTGCCGCATCATCGGCAGGATGTGTGTGGGTACGTGAGGCGGAGGGAGCCTCGGGGGGTCGGGAAAGGTCGCGCTTCGGTCGGAGCCGCACCGGGCTGAGCCGTGCCGGGGAGCCCGTGGGGCAGCGCCCCTCGCCCTCGAGGGTTGTTTTAATGCCTCGAGTGTGTGAGGAGGAGGAAGGATGATCTCAAAGGTCTTTTCCAACCTGGCTGATTCTGTGAAGGACGTAGGGAAATAGACTCGCCCGGAGTCGGGGCAGGGGAGTGTTGGCTCTGGGGGCCAGGGAAGCTCGGCTGCTCCTCGGTGCCCAGGGAAGGGGAGGCATTACCGAATGTGAAAGTCAGGGAAAAGCCTTTCACGTGTCTCTGCCTGGTGAGACCCTGTTAGGTCTGACCAGCTTCTTGCTTTTTTTTCCCTTTAACCATTGGGTTGTGCTGCCACAGCCACACAAACAGTAGTACCCGGCCTTTTGTAGAGCAAATGGCATCTGCACAGAGAGTTCCTTGTTAAGTGTCTCACTGAGAGCCTCGGGCCTCCTTTTGTCCTGTTGGAAGAGAAGGGGGTAAAGATGGTGCCATTCACCCACACTCTGCTTCAGCCAGGTTTTTCATTTCCTGAGGTGCTGGTTATTTGTACATCTCCTGGGCTGAATTCTGGGCTTGGAAGAAATGCACAGAGCAAGAGCAGCTCAAGCCGTGTGTGAACAGCAGGGAAGTGCTAACACACCCTATGGAAACATTATTTTCATTCTGTTGTCTTTCCTTTTGTCATGGTAGGGAACAGACACGGGCTGCTGGTCCCGAGCAGCACGACAGACCAAGAGCTGCAGCACATCCGGAACAGCCTCCCGGATTCCGTGCGGATCCAGCGCGTAGAGGAGCGGCTCTCAGCCCTGGGCAACGTCACCACCTGCAATGACTACGTGGCTCTCGTCCACCCAGATCTGGACAGGGTACAGGGCTCTGGGACATTTCCACCTTCAGAGTGGGGCTGGGAAATGCTGCCCAGCATTTGAGACTGGAATTGTTCCCTGTGGTGCAGGGTAGTGAATGTGCTTTGGAGAAGGGAAGGATTGGGGGGGTCCTGTGTGTCATGGGACAGGACAAGGGGGAACAGCTCCCCACTGACAGAGGGCAGGGCTAGATGGGATATTGGAAAGAAATTCTTCCCTGACAGGGTGGTGAGGCCCTGGCACAGGTTGCCCAGAGAAGCTCTAACTCCCATCCCTGGAAGTGTCCAAGGCCAGGTTGGACAGGGCTTGGAGCAGCCTGGTATGGTGGAAGGTGTCCCTGCCCCTGGCAGGGGGTGGAATGAGATGAGTTTTGAGGTCCCTCCAGCCCAAAGCATTCTGTAAATCAGTGATCATTAGGTGCAGTTTGCTTTGGGTGCATAAAATTGGATGAATTGGAGTGTGCATGGGTCTAATCAGGAGGGTAAGGAGGAGTGCAGTGAGGAGCATAGGAGGAGTTATAAGCTACAGCTGAGTGAGCCAGAGCATGTCATAGCTGAAAGAGACCATGGATGTGCATCATTACAGGGGTCTGAAAGAAAAATAGAAGGTTCTTGTATGAGAGTTTAAAATAAGGGCGAGGAGACAACGTCACTCCTATTTTATGTCTGAGAACAGATACCTTAACAGCATTGAGAGAGATGTGTTGCATGGCTGCAGGTCCTTCCAGCTTGTGCTAAAGGTGATGAAGGAATGGGACTTATTTGCAGGAGTGCAAAGGGAAAAATAAGGGGATAGGAGAAGGTTTTGCACTATATGTTTTCAGAAAGTGTGAAAAATAAAGTAAGATGGCCAGAGAGAGAGAGAGAGAGATCAAAATAATTCACAGTGAAATCTGGAGAGGAAGGAAGTTGTTAGAGTTATGAGAAACATAAGACCATTTTGTCCCAGTGGTTTGGGAGCACAGAGGACTGGTTTGCTGAGAATTGATACACGTGATGTACTGCCAATAGGGAGAGGGAATTTGGGCATTTCTCAGCAAAGGAATGAGGTTGTGTTTATAGTGACACAGGAAGCTGGGAACGTGTGGAGTGTGGAGCTTGGCTGTGTGTGTTGTGGCTGGGTTGCCATGGGCTGTGCAGTGTGGGAGGCTCCCAGCTGGGGGCTGTGTGCAGGAATAGCTTGACTTCCCACTGCACAATGCTGTTTGGCTGAAGGCTTTATCCTCCTTCCATTTGCAGGAGACAGAAGAGATCCTGGCAGATGTGCTGAAGGTGGAGGTGTTCAGACAAACAGTAGCAGACCAGGTGCTGGTTGGAAGTTACTGTGTTTTTAGTAACCAAGGAGGAATCGTGCACCCCAAGACTTCAATCGATGACCAGGATGAGCTGTCCTCTTTGCTGCAGGTCCCGCTGGTGGTAAGGCATTTGTGGAGTGTTTGCTCCTCCCATTCTCTCCCAACTCAGGTGCAATGTTTCTCCAGCTCAGGGGCTCCCAGATACTGTTTTTCTGTGAAATGATTTTGAGTGGGAGGTGAGGAGAAGACTTGAACCAAGTCTTCCAGACAGTTTCCTGTCCTTCCTGAGTCTGAATAAGCTGCTCAGTGCTTTTAGCTGGCTTCTGAAATGTTTCTCTGCTGGGATTGTGCACATTGTGTAGATACAGAATGTGAGGCTGTTTGTGGTTTGGCTGAAACCAGTGTTTATAAAGATTAAGTAAGAAACTCCTGTGCCTGCTCAGCTGGATGTGTGAATGCTGTTATCCTTCCCGCCCATTGGATTCTCTGCCACTGAATGCCACACCAGTTTCTCACCAGAGAGTCAAGGCTGTTCATTAATCATTTTATCTGACACCTTCAGAACTTTGCTGGTGGCAGAGTTGCTCTCTTCAGTGGTGTGAGCTGAGCCCCCAGCAAAGAGCTGTGCCAGGGCAGCGTGAGGAGCTGTGGCAGCTCCTGCTCACGGCTGTGTGTCCGGCAGGCGGGGACGGTGAACCGCGGCAGCGAGGTGATCGCGGCAGGGATGGTGGTCAACGACTGGTGCGCCTTCTGCGGGCTGGACACCACCAGCACCGAGCTCTCCGTCATCGAGAGCATCTTCAGGCTCAACGAGGCTCAGCCAAGCACCATCGCCACCAACATGAGGGATTCCCTGATTGACAGGTAGGGAGGATCCACCCCTGGGCAGGGTCGTGATCAGAACAGGCAAGATTTTATTATAAAAGCAGCTGGTTTCACAATTGATCTATCTGCTTTAATTACAATTTTTTCACTTCCTCTCCCCTTTTGTTGGGTAATGACAGCAATTACTCATTGGGTTATGGAATATTCTGTTGTAATGAGAATCCTTTCTGTGAGAACTAACATCTTTTCAGCTGGCAGAATTTCTTCCCTAACTGTTCAGTGCTTAGCTATGGTATGAATGGGTTTTTTTAAAACAAATCTTACTTTAAAATACCAATAACTTTGCTTGTCATCTTGGCTTTTGATCACTGTAATTACTCAACTGTTATTTCAGATGCTTGCTGTAACCACTTCTGGAGCCAGAAAGACTGCAGAACTTGTCAGCTGCTGCTGCCATAAACCTCTTATATTTAAAACTGCTAACTTGAATTTTTTTTAAGCCTTTTTTTTAAGCCTTAAAGACTTTGTCCAAGTTACTTTTTAATATGAATTGTTTTCTGTCTGGAGTGATAATGATATGGGACCATCCCCATTCATTAATGTATGTAAATGTTTTTCATAATGAAATGTTTTTACATTTAGGCATAAGCACAGGTGAATGTCCTGTGGGAACTGAATTTGGGCCTCGAGTTACAACCCTGAGCACCACTGCTGTGGTGCTGAAAGTGTGTTCCTGGACTTCCTGAGCATTGTAACTTGGGTTGCTGAGTTCTCAGCCACAATCTAGGAATTGTTTATGGCATAAGGAGTTCTTTCAGTGGAAAACCCTTTAAATTATTCTTTTCCCTGTTACAGTTTGAGTACAGATTCTTGATGTCTCTGAGCATATCAGAGCTGTAATTAAACCTGCTCTGAGCTGTAGTTCATTACCTGGGCCAGGCTGAGTGTGCAGATCGCCTTTGCCAGCCTGAGAGGTCTGATCCTGTGGCTGGCTGTTAGCAGCCAGAACGTCTTGCTTCCATTTTTTGATAGGTCCTTTCCTAGGAAAGGAAATTTCTGGGCCTTTATAGTGGGAAGGTGAGAACTGACTGAAGCTGGTATTTAGAAATGCCTTCTGCATTCTGGCACAACTAAACCTTCTTTCTGTTTTGTCTTTTAGCCTGACATGAGCAGTGTTGGTTCCTACTTCCCAGAAAGCTCCTAAGGAGTGAAGTGTTGAGCTGCACTTTGGATCACAGACATCCAGACCTTCTGATGATGTTTCTGCAGGCCTGGCCCAAAGGAGAGGCTACAAAACCAAATTTTTGTCATATTTTGTAAACTGTTACCACAAAAACTGACAAATAACATGCATAAGATACAAATAAGGAATGTTCTCTATCCCTTTGCTCAGTTCTTCAGCTCTGCTTTCTGGTTCTGTGAGGCCAACTGAGCCCGTCAAATTACTCCACAATATTTACTCTTGTGGCTCTTGGATGTTGATCACTAGAGATTATTTTGCCTTAAGTCTTGCACCAGTGTCCTGCTGCACAGAGTTTGTTTTGGCACTACATGTGCTGCCCTCTCTTTCCACACTCCTGCTTGAGTGGTGTTTCTGCTCTGGGTACATGTAAGACCCCTTTGTATGTCCAGTACCAAAAATACAGTAGTTTACTTGCCACAAAATAATTCAAAAATC